TGTTGAAGGTTGCCAAAGAAGACACCACCCTTTACTGCATTCGTCCGAAAAGGAAGTCAAACCTCCCCAAGCAGATCCTGGTGCAGAGTCCGGTTCAGCTCCTGAGAACAACCGGTCTACGCAAGATATGCAATCTGGTGGACATAATCTATCTGGTGTTGGTGCAACAAATTCCTCGTCTCGCAGCTATCGTATTGGCCTTCAGGTTGTTCCTGTCAGGGTCAGTGCACCTTATGGTAATCACGTTATTGAAACTTATGCGTTTTTGGACAGTGGGTCAAACACGACTATGTGCTTGTCCAGCTTAGCTGAAGATCTTGGTGCTGATTGTACGCCTGTTGAGTTTACCTTGTCAACTGTGTCGGGAAACCAGAAACGAAATGGCCAACAATTGTCTCTCGATGTTGTCGGAGTAGCCACTGGAAAGGGTGTTAGATTAAATAAAGTGTGGACAACCGATAGTTTACCAGTAGCCCCAGAGAGCATTCCAACGACTAGTGACGTGCAAGATTGGTCTTATCTTAAGGATGTCGACATTAGTGATTTAGTGGATAAGAAGGTAACCATTCTGATTGGAAGTGACGTCCCGGAAGCTCTTTGTCCTCTTGAAGTACGTGCGGGGAAGAAGAACCAACCTCATGCAATAAGAACAATTTTAGGCTGGACGGTGATGGGACCTCTGAAGGGAAACAGTTACCAGGAAGCTCAGTTAAACTGTATCCATGTTGACCAAGCGCTCGGTTGCAAAGAAAGACATGAAGGGCATGAGTTCTATTCATGAGCAATTAGAAAGTCTATACAACTCTGAGTTTAGTGAATCGACAGCCGACCTGAAGGAATGTCTTTCGATCGAAGACCGTCGTGCGAAGGCAATGATGGACAGTTCCGTTAAACTTAAAGATGGGCACTACGAGATTGGCCTTCCATGGAAGTATAGCGAACCAACCTTACCGAATGATAGATCTATGGCAGAAAAGAGACTGGGCTATTTGAAGAAAAGACTGGAGAGAGATCCCACCCTTCATGCTAAATATAAGGCGACAATGGAGGAATACATCTCGAAGGGACATGCCAAGAGAGTTCAACCGAATGAAGGCGATAATCCGGATGGTTCATCACCTAAGAAACCGATCTGGTACTTACCCCATCACCCTGTGACCCATCCACAAAAGCCAGAGAAGGTGAGAATCGTTTTCGACTGCTGCAAAGTACCACAATACATCCCTCAACGATCACCTACTTCAAGGACCCGACTTTACAAATTCGTTAGTTGGCGTGTTGTTGCGATTCCGTCAAGGAAGAGTAGCTGTGATGGCTGACATAGAGAAGATGTTTCATCAAGTCAACGTCAAGAAACAAGACCGTGAAGCGCTGAGATTTCTGTGGTGGCCAGAAGGAGACCTGTCGAAAGAACCAGTTGAACACCAAATGACCGTTCATTTGTTCGGCGCAACATCTTCGCCAAGTTGTTGTTCGTATGCATTAAAGAAGACCGCCGAAGATAATAAGCAGGACTTCAGTAAGCAAGTCATTGACACGGTGAATCGTGACTTTTATGTAGACGATTGCTTGAAATCGTTACCAACTAAAGAAGAAGCTGTCAATTTAGTGGAAGAGCTCCCGGTATTGTTGTCTCGCGGCGGGTTCCGACTTACCAAATGGTTGTCGAATGAAAGAGAAGTATTATCCCACGTGCCAGATAACGAAAGAGCGCCATGCGTCAGTTTGCAATTGGAACATTTACCAAAGGATAAAGCGTTGGGTGTTCAATGGAACACAGAAACGGACAGCCTAGGATTTCGTAATGGAAACCTCAAAGCAGAAACCAGAAGAGGAATTTTATCCTTCGTCGCGTCTGTTTATGATCCACTCGGTTTAGTTGCTCCTGTTGTTTTGCCAGCGAAGCGTATGTTACAGGAACTTTGTCGAAGTGGTCGTGGATGGGACGAAGAACTTCCGAAAGAGATCAGCACGGAATGGCAAACCTGGCAGAACGAGTCCCAGTCGCTTACAACAACCGAAATTCCAAGATGTTACAAACCTCCAGGATTCAAAGAAATAAAGAGTGCGGAGCTTCACCACTTTGCTGACGCGTCGACCGGTGGATATGGTACAGCGTCATACCTTCGCTTAGAAGACACGTGTGGAAAGATTCATTGTAGCTTGGTTATGGGTAAAGCTAGAGTGGCCCCCCTGAAAACAGTCACGGTGCCGAGACTGGAACTGACCGCCGCAACCCTTGCTGTAAAAGTAGATAAACAGATTCGCGAAGAGCTAGATATACCCATTGATCGTGTTATCTTTTGGACGGACTCCACCATAGTACTTCGCTACATCGCTAACACGTCGAAAAGGTTTCAAACCTTCGTGGCAAACCGACTTCAGATCATCCATGATGCGTCATCTCCTTGTCAGTGGCGCCACGTACCAACTAAGTTGAATCCAGCAGACCTTGCATCGAGAGGTCTGAGCATCGGTGGTACAGATCGAGATGAGCGCAACCTGAAATTTTGGTTCAATGGTCCCGATTTCTTGTGGCAAGATTACCGATCGTGGCCGGAGCAACCAAGTGATCTACCCGAAGTAGACGACACAGACGTGGAGGTAAAAAGAAACAAGGCGAATGTTGGTGCTGTCATTGTATCTGAGAACGCAATTCCTGAGTCGTTAAGTCGTTTTATCCATCGACCGTCGTGTTGGTATCGATTACAGAAGTCGGTCGCATGGCTGCTAAGATTCAAGCAGTATTTATTGTCTCGATGTGGAAAGGTTCCAGAATCGGACGTGCCACGCGGTCCATTAAAGGTTAAAGAAATCGAACAGGCAGCCGTAGAAATAGTAAAGATTACACAGAGAGAAGCATCGATTAACAAGCAAAGCTCCAAGGAACGATTTGCTAAATTAAGTCCAGTTATTAGCGAAGATATCGTGAGAGTTGGTGGACGCCTGGAAAAATCGTCATTACCAGAAGAGTCGAAGCATCCTGCCATTCTTCCCTGCAACCACCACGTCACGAAGCTTATCGTGCGTTACTATCACGTGAAAGAAGGTCACGCTGGAACAACCCAAACCTTAGCAGCAATTCGACAGAAATATTGGATCGTGAAAGGGCCAAGCACGGTAAAGAATATCATTAACGAGTGTGTAGCTTGTCGTCGTCGAAACCAACCGCCAGGTAAACAGATTATGGCACCACTTCCAGAAGCCCGAGTCACACCAGGCGAACCTCCGTTTTCATCCGTGGGTATCGATTACTTTGGCCCTCTAAAGGTGAAATATAAAAGAGGAACTGTAAAACGTTATGGCTGCGTTTTCACCTGTTTAGCCATAAGAGCCATACACATCGAGATTGCTCACGACCTTTCAACGGATTCTTTCATTCAAGCGGTGTCCAGATTCGTTAGCAGACGTGGCCCACCTAAAGAATTGTTCAGCGACAATGGAACTAATTTCCGTGGAGCAGAAGCCGAAGTTAAGCAGATGTTACAGAATTGGAATCAAACAAAGATCTTGGATCGCCTCAGGAAGCAAGGTATTCAATGGCATTTCTCTGCACCATATGCAAGTCACACCGGCGGGGTATGGGAGCGAATGATCAGAACGGTTCGAAAGAATATGCGTGCTCTTGTCGGTGATCGACTGGTTGACGACGAAACTCTCCTAACTGTGATGTGTGAAGTCGAGAAAATGATCAACGATCGCCCTCTTACACGACAATGTGACGACCCTCGTGATTTGGCAGCTCTGACACCCAACACCTTACTCCTAAGTTATCGAAATCGAAGTAGTTCGGCAAACACCTCAGCGTCGACTCATAACCTTCGAGAGAAATGGAAGTTAGCGCACAAATTAGCTGACGAATTCTGGGCAAGATGGTTGAAAGAGTACCTGCCAAGCTTACAGGAGAGGCAGAAATGGCTGTTTCCCAGACGAAATTTAACCAAAGGAGATGTTGTCTTGATGGTGAAGGAGGATTGTCCACGAGGTGAATGGCCTCTAGCAGTAGTTGAAGAATCGTATCCAGATAAGAATGGACATGTTAGACAAGTGTTGATTCGTGCAGCCAATCAGACTCAATATCGACGTGATGTTAGGAAATTGTGTCTCCTGGAGAAATCCGACTCGGAGTAAACGGGACTAAAGAAACTCTATTACGAACAGTTTATATATGTTGTTGATGTTAATTTTATTTGTTCAATCTTACTTTATCGGACAAGCTTGGTGATGACGTTGTTTTGGAAGTCGTGAGAAGTACGACAATTGAAATAAGAGAAAACTTTATACTTGCGCAAGTGACTATTGGTAATCGATAGAACTGTGGATCTCGATCCATTTTGATAATTTTTGAACGACAGTATAGTAGGTCGTTCGGGGCTGGTATATAGGATCGAGACGGTAATTTATGATAATTTATGTAAGTGCCCGGATGAGTTAGGGGCAGTTGTTTATTCCATGTGCTTGGTCATATACAATATATAGTTTGTAGTTTTTTGTATGTGGAAGTAGCCTAAATACGAGGGAAAACATTTGATTTATGACTTTTTTGCTTGGGATAAGTATAGATTGTGATGAACCTTTATTGTTTATTTAGAACCATCATCATCGTTTATCAATTTTATATCATTCGTACATTGACATTGTAGAAATAAATATATTTGATCGATTGTGTGTTGTTTTTTGCGTCTTTGATGTGTCTCTCGTTGGTCACATAAGCTGGGAATCATTTATAGCTTATAAGTATTGTAATCTGGAATTTATTACATTTTAAAGCAAGTATTTGTAATTGGAATTAATTCCTTTTTCAGTGGTAATCTTGCAGCCCTGGGTTTACAATTATTACAACACCTATGAATACTGTCGTAATAAGCGGAAATTGGTTTTTATTTCGCTGGAAATGGTGGAAACGAACACTGCGGGGAAACATCTGCTCATGCCAAATTGTAAACTTTTAAAAACATTGCTATTTAATTATTTAAGGTAATTGAAACAAACAAAAAAATACATTAGAGGGGTAGTTTAGATATTAATAAAAGGTTTTCTAACATTACAGTAAAAATCTAAAAAGAAACAGAATTTAAATTAAAAATTACCGTTTAAATTAAGACCAGGAGGCGTGTAACATTTCTTGAAGAATTGTCGAATACTGAACTTATATGAACCTACGAAAAATATCTTTGTATGGTTCAGTTAAAGAACGTTTTATACAATAAATTTATCGACAGTCACTTTTGGTTTATTTTCTTGCATAAACTACTTCTTGTATATGTATAGACTATAATTATTTCTACTTTTTAGGTTGTCACGTTCACTGATTCCGCTTGCATTTTCGGGCAAAACATCGAAGTCGCGCCTTGTCGCTTCCGTTTTGAGTTTTTGACAATCATTTTGAGTTTTTGACAGTTTTTATTTTGCTCATGTACATATATCTTTTTCTTATTTGTAGCATATTATCACCTGTTTGTTAGTTTCGTAACAGGAGAGTCCAGAAAAATGTCTAGCGTAAAGTGTAAACATATACATGTTCCAACTTATGTACTTTTATTGTATTTACCTAGCTTTAATTCTATTAGTTTACATATGCAGAGAAAGCATTAAACAAAAATGAGAAATTATAAGACTTCAAAAGCTTAGACTGCAGACATATTAAATATACATTCAGTAACAACACACGAATTGCTATAAATAGCAACGTTACAGTCTAGTAATGATATGATGATTTGTTGTGCTTTTGTTGTAAGTTGGCCTATCACTAAAATATATTGAAAATCCTTCTAAACGATTCTTAATAAAGTATACAAAGCATATACATTGATATCGAAACACAAAATTCAAAGTTTTGAACAATTTGAGCTTCGTGACTCTGGTATAGACGTATGGGCCTAATGATTTAATTGTGTTACATTCCACTGGAAATCACCAAAATGAGCTTTTTTAAAAGTCTCGCGTGAGGCTCCAAGGCAATAACCCAAGCTAGTTTTTATATATAACATGTACTCATGCTATACCATTCCGTGGATGAAATATAAACAAATTCACGATTATCGCACATAGTAAATTTCCCCTTCAAATCCAGTGACAAAATGCAATTGTAAAATTTGACTAAAAATAGCCAATTTCAACAACGTCTGTCAGGCCAGTTAAAGCCTCCTGGGCCATTCTATATTGATAAAATTGTTCTCTAATACTTGAATTATAGTCATTAAACCATCAAAACTATCTACGGGCAGTCTTGAATCTGTCGCAAAGTGATGAAATTGACCATGGCAACGGCTTTGTCTGCGGCTAATTATAGCCTTCCGGACACAAATTCTTGATTTCTGATATTTGTACGTTTATCGACCAAATATTGAAAATCTAACCCAAACACCATTTATAACTAGGTATTACCTAAATTTGAGCAAAATATGAAAGAAATCTATTTTTCATCTATTGCCACTGTTTGCTCGATTTTTACGGACAGTCGCTCTTAAAGAGTAAGCAGAGTGATGTTGGGTCTGGCCCTGGGATACAAAAAGCCAACTAGTTAACTCATTCTCATCCGGTCGAAAAGTAGCAATTTCGAGTGGTGTTGTTTCAAACGCTTATATCTCTCAACCTATACATCGCACGGAAACAGAAATTGCATCGTTCGAAAGAGGAGGACTTCTGCTTTCCAACGATACCAATTTCAATTTCATCCGGAGCTTGGTTAACGATTTACTCGCATAAATTTGCATAAATTATGATATAAAAAAATGTTGCAATTATGCATAAATGTATTTAGCGGTTCAAATTTCAAATATGTCAAAAAAATTTATGAATATGACTGAAAGACACGGTTATGATCTACAAGTACCCGAAGTTTCATGCATGTAGCATAAATAGAAATATTTTTATTGAATTTTTATATAAACTAGGTAGTGGAGTAAAATTTACATTTTGTGCTCACATGAAACAAATACCTTTATCAAAGGTCCTTTTTTATTGCTGCAACATGTTATCAATACAAATTTCCAATATTTCTTACTCTCCAAAGATAGTATGGCACCAAAATAAGTCTGTGATACCCACAAAAGAACACTCAAATCATGATTAGCAAAATGTCTTTATTTCTACAATTACTACATACATTCTTAGATAATCATTACACCATTGACTTTAGTTATTAGTGGCATAACCAGCCTCAAAATTTGGTCATGCTATTCAAATTTGAAATAATCACTACTCATTTGTTTAGAAATTGATTGTTTTCACAATCTAGAACATGAAAATATTTGCAAATAGCATGACCAAGTGTTGTTGGGCTGGCATCATCATAATTAGTAGTCATAAAAAAGTAATGTTTTCCAAGGCAGTAATGTTTGCTAAAGCAGTAATGTTTGCCAAAGCACATAATTGGATTATGTGGTGAAAATATTTCCTTTATATTGTACTACAAAAGACCTAAGACTGTAACCAAACTGATATCAGATCACCACGTCATACCCAAATCTGTTGCGATGAATATCTGGACTTCTTCCTGTATAAATTTCAAAGTCGCAATATAACCATTAGGATTGTCTGCAGCAACCCACAGATTTATTCCCCACATAGTAGGTCATCTAGCTTTCATGAACTGCCTAACCCCCAACCTATTTCTTGATTTGACAGTGTGTTTGTCTGCAACAACAATATTCTGTGACGGCTGGTACAGTTGTTGATGCAGTTTATTGCTGTAGTCTTTAGTACAGGATCTACCATATTCACAAACGCCATAAGCGCTTTGTACCTAACCCAAGAAATTATGTCTATTGCCCACAGACCATGATATAAGGTTTTTACACTCCAATAATTTTCAATCTCACTGTCGACCTTTAGCAAACCTGCATATTATACTAAAAGGCAATCAACCTCTCAAGGTTGGTGGACTGCAAGACCCTTCTTTATTAGTATATGGGGATAACTTTTGAGTTATTTGTATGTGGGCATATGTATTGGTATAGTCAGGAAACTACCTCCGGAATCATTCCCTTAGTAAAAAAGAGTCGAATGAACTCAAGCTGACAGTTCATTGAGCCGAATAAACTCAAGCTCACAGTTGATCGAAATGGATCTCGGACATGTCAGTGAGGAGCAAAATCTGGGAGAACATTCCTAGCGTCAGGATCGTCATATCCGTTATGTACTATGGGGCCTAGTGGGGATGCTAGACAGGGAGCTTTCGGAACTTTATGTCCTAATGGCTGGGCTTCCCTCTACCTCTACTCATCCCCCTACCTTCCCTCTGGGTTGGTGAGTGGGGGTTCTCATGACTCATCAGAACTCTACTTCCCTGAGGCTATGAAACAGGAACAGCAGATAGGAACAGGATCAATATATTCATCAGTGCAAATAAAAACTTTTATAGACATGGTGCCACTTAAAATTATAATAAGAGCCAACTAGTAAGATATAAGTATGAATACTTGGCTATTATGTATGTAACAAACAACCAAACATATGCTCAAGGCTCATTTTACTTCGCCTAGGAATCAGAGATTTTTATGCCTAAAACACCATAACTTTTCGTCAACAATATAAATAAATACCATTTATATTTGTCAATTTCAGTATGAAAAGATTATTTCAACACAAAAAAGCGATATGAGGACATACTTGGTCGTACTAGTGAAGCTATACTAAATACAAATAAATTTACAACGCCATGGCAACAGCAAAACATTGAAATAGAAATTGTCTAGAAATGATACAAATACTTGCCTTGAAACTCCAGACACGACTCCCAATGCCAGGTTGAGATACTTGTCTTCATACGAAGACATTCCATCATCACTAGCACTATCAGTTTGCAAAATAAAGCCAAAAACGTCTTCAGAATGCGATTCAAACAAAACTACAACACAATACATTTCAACGCTCGTGCGTTCCCGTGCGCGATAATCAGGAAAATTGCTCTAAAAGATTTGTTTTTCTGCCTAAGCCAATCAAAATCCGTATCAAGGGTAAACAAACACTCCGGAAGTGATTCCTGCAGTCTTTTACCAGGAAACTGTAATGCTTTACCAAGAATTTGGCGTCCGAAGTTGGCCGAACACTTTCCGATCACGAGAATTGCCATAATAGGCTTAGATTATTTCGCAATTTCCCGAGACTACTCCGAGCTATAGAATGGAAGATGGAGATTCTTTTGGTATATTTGTTATTATTATACGTTGAAAATAAGCAAAAAGACGAGCATTTGAATCAGGCGGAACATTCAAAATGCAACAGCAAAATTGATAATGTGTCATTTGCATAAATTTCACCACATTGATCATTTCAAGGTAAGAAATTCGCTTGAAATTGAGCGAGAAACAATAAAATTATATGAATATTTCTGAATATATAGTATCGATCAAGCGGAATTTTTTGGTGGTATTTTCGTATGTCTACTGCAAATACTCACGAAGTTCTTTAATATTTAATCTTCCCGTCATATACGTCGGAAATTAATATTGGCGGATCGAATTGAGTTAAGGTCTATTATAACCTATTAACTGATAATGCACACTACTTTAGTATTAACTCTGGCTAATGCCAGACCAATTTACACTGTAACGCCAGACGATTTTACTTGTTAGTGGCAGAGTACTGTCAGTAAATGGGTTAACAAACACATCTGACATTATGTTTTGCGATGTTACTCTGAGTGCATATCCACACCGGGCGAGCTTGAAAAATATGCCCGGCCACGGTGGGATTCGAACCTACGACCTTTGGAATACTAGCCCAATGCTCTTCCAACTGAGCTACTCGGTCAGGACGGTTCGAGTAAGTGATATTTCGGAACAGTTCTAGATTACTAGAATACATTGGTATCGAAGGAACTAGATTCTGTTCCGAAATATCACTTACTCGAACCGTCCTGACCGCGTAGCTCAGTTGGAGCATTGGCACAGAGCACTACACAGAAGTCCATCTTCATTGTTTTTTGCGTAAGCTCTATTCGTCCTGATTCGTCACTCAGCAAGTACCGTAAACAGAAGCAGTCACCCCCCTGGACATGCCCCATTTTTAGTATTTCAAGGGGGGTGACTGCTTCTGTTTACGGTACTTGCTGAGTGACGAACATGACGAATAGAGCTTACGCTAAAAACAATGGAGATGGACTTCTGTGTAGTATTCTGTGGCATTGGGCTAATACTAGTACTTCATTTAAACGATGGTTTTATAATTTAACAATATGGCCGATATTTATTAATAATGGCAGGATTTGCCAGCTGGCTAGCACCATGGTAATAAAATACAATCCATGTTATTTTACAATCCATGCTAGCACTCTAGCACTAGTATTAAATTTGTCAGAGTTTATATCTGGATCATTTGCAGAAATATGGCTAGTTGTGATTGTGAAGAAGAAAATTGAAAACGTTGATATAAACTATTTGCCTAACGAAATTCTAGCGAAGATATTTTCATATCTCACTGTAAAGGAGTTAATATGTACTGTGAGACTTACCTGTCAAAGATGGTGTAATATTTCGTATGACAGAAACTTATGGACCACATTGACAACAGATGACGTTCAAGAACTTAAGAATCATTCAATTTCTGACATAATACATCGTTTGTTTTGTTTTAATAATGATTTTGCTACGCTCAAGTATCTTTCGCTTGACCGCGTTGATATTACACATGAAGACGACTTAACCTGTATGTTTCCACTTCTTATACCAAACCTTTGCGAACTGTCACTTGCATTTTGTAATCTAGGGGATCCATGGATTGAAATTCTTTTGGAAAAACTTTCTATTTGTTGTCGTAATATACACAGCTTAAACTTGGATGAATGCAACATAATAAATAATTGTTTGGATTTTTTTTATAATCACAACATAACAAAACTTAATGTTTGCTACTGTAACCGACTGACAGATGAATTTATTTACACAATTAGTCATTGGAATCTCAGATATTTAAATATTGATGGTGTTCAATGGATCAGTGATGAAGCTGTGGAGCATTTGTTGCACAATTGTCAACATTCACTTGAACATCTATGGCTAGATGGTGATAATTTGACAGATGATGGATTAAAAATGTTGAGCCATTGTCACAACATAAAGTATGTGACCAACTTATGAATAAAATAGATTTGATCTCGAATAATTCAAAATAAATGTTGACACTTTAAGAAAAAGAAATCACAGCACCTCGCCTCTGCCCAAGCCAGATTTTGAATTACATTTGAGCAAAATGCATTTATTGCAGGTTTATCAATTATATAACATTAAAACATGTCCTACTCATTTAAGTAAAGGTCTCCAGTGAAATATGTATTTTTGGAATGATATGACCAATAGACCTTGTTTCAAAAATGGTGATAATATGTGGTAAGACCAAAATTGGATTTTATAAGGAAATTGGCCCCTCCTTGTAACCCACCAGTCAAGGTTAGGGGTGGGACTGTGGGGTTATACAGCACCATAAGCATGTAAGTTGGGCAACAAGATGCCTGATGGGGGAGAAATAAATTGGAAAACAACTTTTGATTGCTTGGGCAAAATGATACAATAAATTAATTAATTGATACAATAAATTTCTTTCTGCTCCCCCATCCCCAAGTTTACCCCCTCCCATACGCCTATGTACAGCATCCCCTAGCTATGAGACATGTTCCTCAATCAGTTCTGAACCTCCCAGAGGAAAATGGTGTTCTTAATTTCATCCATTACAAATGAAATTTTGTTGGAAAACACATCTTCCCATTTATAAGTGTGTTTTGGTTTACAAAATATCAGAGAGTGTTCCATTCCATAAAGATGGAGAAATATGTATAGGTTATTTTGAGGCAATGAGGGGATATGTGATTTATTCACCGAGGCACGCAGCGCCGAGGTGAATAAACGCATATCCCCGAGGTGCCTCAAAATAACGTACTTATTTTTCACACTGCGAGGTCGCGTTAATGAGTCAGAATAGAAATAATTCTTAATGCCATATTGCCTTCGTGATGTTTTTTCTCATTTTTCGTGCTGCAAATACATTGCAGGTGAATATTAGAGGGGATTATTAATTGCAGGTGAATATTAGAGGGGATTATTAAACGGAAATTGATTAGAGGGGAATATTGAATATATTTCCCGACAAGAACAAAGGAAACCGAGCAGGGTGAAAAATAAAGTATAGTTTGGTATACCTCGACCACTGTTCATGTCAGTAGGATCCTCAGGAGCTAGTTGTATAAAAATCTTAATCACTTTTTTAATCATTATTTTGTAGCTAAATAGTGATTAACTCTCAAATATGCGCTTCTTATTGGATGACGTTTCCACTAGATAGTTAACTTTAATCACTTTTTTATACAACCGGCCCCAGGTGATTAAACAATTTGGATGAATGACAGGGTGCCCGCCTCAGACTTGGTATGAAAATATTGCTGTATTCATTTAAATTTGACAAGAAATAAAATATCACTGCAATAAATTGACAAGAAATAAATAATATCACTGTAACTCAGACTCTTGTCAAATAAATTTGACAAGTACATGCGTAAAAATGCTCAGGTTGATGCAATATTGATGAAAACAGGATTGAACAATGTTTTGCTGCCCACATTGTTCACGGTTGTCAACAATATTGAACAATATTGTTACACCCGATTCAGGCTCAACAGTACTGTTCAATATTGTTGACATGTGTGAACAACATGGGCAGCAAAACATTGTTCAATCCTGTTGAGCAGCGGGCTCTGTGTTTTTAGCCGTGTAGCTAACAAATCTAGCTCTAAGTTTGCAGCACTTCATGTAAATTGAAATTTATATTTTACAGTGATATTTTTTATTTCTTGTCAATTTATTGCGGTGATATTTTATTCCTTGTCAAATTTGAATTAATACAGCAATATTTTCATACCAAGTCTGAGATGGGTACCCTGTGGATGAATGGGCTGCAATCAATGATATGGCTGCAATTTTGTGGTCAAACATGGGAGTGTGGGTATCAAAGTGTTGCATAAATTAAAATGTAACTGACATTGGGGAACAAAAAAATTTATAAGGTCAAATGTAGATCAGTATGTCGCCCATATGACCGATTGGTGTATATTGTGATACCAACACATGACCATTGGTATATTGGTGTATTATTCTGTAATTATTACGTACTTTATGCCAGAATGACGTAACAAATGAATGTTACAAAATCACAATGACTAATTAGACTGCTAGTCTAGTTTGAAAACTTTATGAAAATTTATCCTTCTTTTAGCGGAAAACCTTTTTAGACTGAATTTAAACAATCAGCTGCCATGATGCCATCATATGATAAAACTACACGTCTACCATAAACAACGAAAGACAAATTACATACAATATTTAACTAACCCTTTCCCCGTAAGCATCTCACTAAAGGTTTGATTATGACTATGTGACAAACATATATTCTTATATTTTAGCGTTTTAAAAATAACCTACTGTGAAGAGTTGACAGATGTGACATTGGCCAACGTTTCTGAAATGCGAAACCTTACTTCACTGTCTTTAAGAAAAGGAAAGAACTTTTCAAAAGAAGGACTTATCTTTATGTTTCAGAATCTTAAAAATGAATTATATTACTTGGACTTTTATGATTGCCAAGCTCTTAATGACGAAGTCGTACATTGGTTAACACAATCGTAAGTTAATAGTTGAAACGTTGTTTAGCTGATTTTTATGTAGTTTAACATATATGTTAATAATAATAGCTATATAGAAGACTACATGGAAACAATAAAAGATGAAAATTTTATACCAAACTTGAATCGAGGCTAACGATTTTTCTCTACACTGCTAAATGCTGACAAATGGTATGGATTAAAAATTAGAAGGCAGTTAGCCGAGAGTTCTTGGAAGTTGGAACATTTTCTCCTAAGCCTGATCCCGCCAACTTTTACGTCGGATTCGGAACAATATCAGGTAGCTGTGTGGAGAAGAGTGCTGGGTTCCAGCGGACTCCCCCTGAAATCAGTGAAACGTTCCCCTTAGCCTCGCCACTGCATTTCGTATAAGATGCAACTGAGGTCCTCGGCAAGGTCAAGGAAACACGTTTATATAAGTCGGGAACAAGTGAAGTTTTCTTATGTGTACGTCAGATTGCCAAAAGGGGACTGGATTAAAAACTGCGTTTGTCAGTTTGTGGCCATCTTCAACACGTGTGACATAGATTTTTAAAGTTTTTTTTTGTTTCCTCACACGAGCGCTATGCCTATGATGCAAAATGCCGCCAAAATTAGTTATAGCAATTTTCGAGTGACGTCCGTGTTGCAAAAACGCGCTTGCTTAATTAAGCTCATAATGAATAACATACTTGACTGAACTGCAACCCTTGCTACTCGACAGAGTAAAATGTCTAAAATTGTACGTATACGATTCGTCATAACGGGCCATGTTACACGAGGCAATTTTGCTGCAACTTGCAACGCAATTTCGGTCATACAAGCGATGTTATATAAAAAAATAACAGAAAATTAGTGAGCATGGCGATGGGCAAAATTTCACTTTTCTGATTTTCTTATTCACTTATTTTATAGTAATTAAGTAAAATGCGGAGCAAGTTCTCGTACAATCTTACTGTGGATATACATTTACATACCTTAATTCATCATTGAGTCGGTTTTCTTTGATTAATAATCATATTAATTAGCTGAAAAGATGAAGGAAAACTCAAAAAATTGTCGTTCAAAGCAGACGAAACAGACAAAACTTTGTTGAAAAACCTCCTCAATGATGAATTAAATACGATAAACAACTCGAAAGTCAGGATTTATGTCAGATAATGTCCTCGGACGCGTCATTATCTGACATAAATTTCTCCTCGATATATATAGATTGATTGCACTCGTTGCAGCAAAGATTTCCTCGTGTAACATGAACTTTAAGCATTAAAACGGCAATGTTTGTGACTTATACCAACAAATAAAATAAATCTCTCCTACAATTTACAGTTCTCCTCATCTAATCACGTTAGATCTTTCATGGTGTTGGTGTATTACAGATGAAGGCCTGAAGGACATCGTAAATCATTGTCGTAATATTCAAAAACTGATCTTAATTGGCCTGCACGAACTTACTGGCAAACCTTTCGAAGACACAGTAGAGAGACTACCTCGCTTGTATTATCTGGATTTGTGTAATTGTAACTCAATCATAGATGATATAATAATAGATATTGCCAGGAAATATTCTTCTTTATCAATTGTAAATTATTATGGCGACGTTGTATAATATAAGTAAAAAATTATACATATATACCATATCTTGTAGGTGCTCCATAGATTAATTATAATTATGAGGATATTAGTCCTCGCTAGGAATTTCAAAACATATCATTATTTAAATAACCATAATCATGATTTTGGTGGACCAACATTCCCTGTAGGATTTCGAAAAAAACCCGTGCATGGCTTTAGAAACCCGCGATATTTAAGGTGAAATTAAGGCGGTTGCTCTATTGATTCCGCTGCTGAGGACCCCATTTTAATACATTCAAAGGCTAGTATTATCTGTTTAGCATAGTCTGGCCTTTCGGTTAGGATAGCTTTACGTATAGTTTTTAAAAATTGGTATTTCGCCGTATTAATGGCATATAAATGGGGTGTGTGTGGTGTTAACCCCCCAGTCGTCAGGCAGTCGGTAAAACAGTGAATCCCATGCAGTAGGCAAAACATGGGGGGGATGGAATGAGACAGATTACATTTTGGAAAATAAATATTAATTAACGTTTGAAATTTGACAGTAGTTAGCCGTCCACCGGTCAGGCCGGGGTGAAGGTCAGGGACTCCACGGAACGCATTGTTACTGTAATTGCAACCGCGTACCCAGGCTTTTTCTTCGGGTTTCTGCTTGTTGTTTTCAGGTAGTAATATAACCACTCAGTACAGCATATAGAGTACTACCTGTATTGGCCTGTTAGTCCAAAGCTCCTAACCAAAACGCCTGCTCTGCAGGCTATTAGGAATTAGGAGATTTTGTTTCGCTGAATCGAATGGTAGAATTTTTGTCTTCATAGCATGCACCGAACCTGAGATATTTACCCTGCCAAGATTCTTGCAAAGTCATAGAACGTCCACGTTCTACGTTCAGGGACGCCGGAACGATCATAAGGCAAAGGGGGGCGGACCCACAGCAAGGGCACTTCTATAAAGCAAAACTTCAAAATCTTCCGAAATTTTTTTTTTTATCAAAAAATTTCGGCGACCTCCCCCCCCCTGTGTAGCAAGCAAAAAGGTGTGTTATTTTGCACACCTTGCAAGGTGTATAAAAAAGCACCGCTTAAGGTGTATAATTTGTTCGCCAGAGATTCCACTTCTCTGTTAACAAATTGCCTCGAGGAAATTCTTAAAAAAATTATCCAAAAGAAAAGCGAAATTGTTATCTAAACCGTGGATTACAAAAGGTATTCGAGTTTCTATAAAAAGAAAGAACAAATTCTACAAGTTGTATTTGAAGTCAAAAAATGCTTACTATTTTTCTAAATATAAATCATATAGAAATAAGTTGAAACATCTGATATTACTAAGTAAAAAGGCCCATTACTCTAATTACTTTGAATATAATTCTAACAACATTAAGAAAACCTGGCAAGGGATTAAACAATTAATAACATTTAACAAAAATAAATCTAATGTTCCAACTACAGTGGAAATAGGTTCCCAAAAAGTAACAAACACCATTGACATTGCTAATGCTTTTAATTTTTATTTTGCTAACATTGGATCTAATCTTGCTAAGTCTATACCTTTACTAAATTTATCATTTGATAAATATTTAAAATCACCTACTTCACATAGCTTTGCTCTTTATCCAACTAATCCATTGGAAGTTGAACAAGAGATTGATCATTTATGTAATAACAAATCTACTGGGCCATTTAGTATTCCAACTAAGTTACTTAAGCTACTAGGATCTATACTGTCTGAACCATTATCATATCTATATAATTGTTCATTCAATTCTGGAACTGTCCCAAGTAAATTTAAAACTGCAAAAGTTATTCCGGTTTTTAAAAAGGGATCTGTCACTGTTCTTTCAAACTATCGTCCAATTTCTTTACTTTCTGTATTCAATAGAATTCTTGAAAAACTGATGTATAAGAGGCTCAATAGTTTTTTTGAGAAAAACAAAACACTTTACTCTGGTCAATTCGGTTTTCGTGCGAATCATTCTACTAATCATGCTACTTTGCTCATTACTAATAAAATTCAAAAGGCAATTGAAAAAAAGATGTATTCATGTGGAATATTCCTTGACCTTAGTAAAGCATTTGATACTGTTAATCATAAAATTTTAATAAAGAAACTCGAATATTATGGTATAAGAGGGATAGTAAAGATTGGTTTTGTTCCTACCTTTCAGATAGAAACCAGTTTGTTTCACTTGGTAATGTGTCATCTGATGAACAGTTACTTACTCACGGAGTTCTCCAAGGCTCTGTCCTGGGGCCTCTTTTATTTTTAATTTATATTAATGATTTTAACAAATCTTCTGATTATTTGGATTTTCACCTTTTTGCTGATGATTCAAACTTATTCTTTGCGCACAAGAGCCTCCAATCTCTCGAATTGCACTTGAATGAACAGTTGTGTAAGGTTGATCAGTGGTTATGTGTTAATAAACTATCCCTAAATGTAGAAAAATCCAACTTTGTAATTTTTCATCCTCCTCAGAAAAAGGTTAATTACTCTATTAGCCTTCTAATTAATAACAATATCTTAAGGCAAGAAAATAGCATTAAGTATTTAGGTATAATTATGGATTCTAATTTGAATTGGAAAGAGCATGTTCATGAGCTATGTAAAAAGATATCACGAGGAATTGGTATACTATCGAAACTTCGTCATTTTGTCACAAAAAAGATACTTATTCAAGTTTATTATTCGATAATTTATCCGTATCTTACTTATGGCGTTTTGATATGGGGAAATACATATTGGTCTAATATTAAGCCCTTGTATATCCTGCAAAAGAAAGCGATCCGCATAATGAATTTCCTATTTTATCAGGCACATACAGCTCCTTATTTTAAGAAAGACCAATTATTAAAACTTGCAGATATTGTTAAGTTCTATACTGCTCTGTTTATGCATCCGTTTTACCGAGACAGTCTTCCGGTTGCTTTTGACAACTTCTTCATTTTAAATCGTATGAAACATAATTACGATACACGGCTTGCATCAAAGTGTTCATACGCTTTACCTTTAGTTCGTACAAATTATGGAGTTTTTAATATTAATTTTTCGGGCCCTAAAATTTGGAATGATATTGATGAGGCGCTAAAAATATTGAGTATAAGTTTATTTAAAAAGAAATTAAAACAAAGTATAATTGAGCTATATTAACTTGAGTATTCGGATCATATTTATGTTTTCTTTTAATTTTCAATTTTGCCATCTTGTAACACATTTATTTAAAAATTGTTTACTGTATATATTCTACTAAAAATTGATAGCCACCTGTCTCGATTAGCCCCTATGGTTACTTACGGGTGGCTATGCACATAATTCTTTTTGTTTTATAATACTTAATGTAGAAAATTGTTGTATCTTGTATTTATAATGTGTGTGCAAATTATATTATTCTATTCTATTCTATTCTATCACATCTATGATCAATTCTTCTCTGTCCCTTGGATATGTTCCAACTGAGTGGAAAGCTGCTCTGGTCGACCCACGGCTAAAGAAACCTGGCTATAATGTCTCTTTTCCAAATTTACGACCAGTGTCTAACCTACAATTTGTGGCTAAATTGACAAAAAGTGGTTTGCAACCAAACTCAAGATCATATATTGCGGTCGGACTTATATCCGGTGCTCCAGTCAGCTTATCGGACAGGTCACAGCACTGAAACAGCTCTTCTGAAAGTCCACAATGACATCTTGTTAAATATGAACAATCAGAAGGTTACTCTACTTGTACTGCTTGACTTGAGCTCAGCGTTTGACACGGTGGATCATCAAGTCCTTCTTCGTCGTCTTCAAGTAACGTTTGGAATAACGGGTAATGCGCTTGAATGGTTTCGGTCTTATTTATCTGGCAGATCACAGCGAGTAGTAATAAATGGAAGCCATTCAAGGGAATTTCCTCTGATGTATGGTGTCCCTCAGGGCTCCTGTTTAGGGCCACTACTGTTTATAGTATATTCTAGCAAGCTATTTGAAGTCATAAAGAATCACCTTCCTGACGCCCATGCTTATGCTGACGATACTCAGCTGTACATCTCATTTAAGCCTGATTCTACTGCTAGTGAATTAGAAGCGGTAACTTCATTGCAAAACTGCATAGCTGATATTAAGACATGGATGACCGTGGACAAACTCAAGCTGAATGATGATAAAACTGAATTTATTATAATTGGAACTCATGCACAACTGAATAAGATAAAGATAACTGAGTTAAGAATTGGTCAGGTAATGGTGTCGTCAGTATCCGATGCTCGAAATCTTGGATCCTGGTTTGATAACATTTTGAGTATGAAAACGGCAATTAATAAGACCTGTCAATCTGTGATTTATCACTTACATAATGTCAGGCGAATAAAGAGATTTTTATGCTTTGAAGACAGAAAGACGATTGTTCAGGCCATGCATGGTCATGTCAAGAATAGACTACTGTAATAGCTTACTATTCGGTGTTTCGTCCACGCATCTTATGAAGCTTCAACGAGTGCAGAATGCTGCAGCCCGCTTGGTGTGCTCAGTTCCAAAACATGAACATATCACACCGTCGTTAATCAGATTACACTGGCTACCAGTTAAATTTAGAATAAATTTTAAAATTGCAATGCTCACATTCAAATGTATAAACAAAACTGCTCCCGAATATCTAAGCAGTTTAGTGACCATCAAGAAGACACCTCGTTACAACCTAAGATCAAATACAGGAAAGTTACTACAAGATAACACTGCTCGGTCGAAAAATACATTAGGAGACAGGGCATTTTCTAATGCCTCAGCAATAGTATGGAACAGTCTTCCTGTTTTTATAAGAAGTCAGGAAAATTTTAGTACTTTTAAGTCACTTCTCAAAACACACTATTTCAGGGAAGCTTTTAAAGAATAAATAAATTTTAGAACTTGAGCGGTAACTGTTTTTGTAAATATTCTAAATTTTATTTATTTATATTTTTAAATCTATAGCTAGTTTAAGTAGTTTGTAAAGCGCATTTGATCATACCAATTGCATGTTAATTTGCGCTATATAAGTAGTAAATTATTATTATTATTATTATTATTATTAAAATACACACCATATGGTGTGTAAAAATACACACCTTTTTGGAAAACACGCTTTAAGGTGTGTGAATTTGGCTACAAGCAAAAAAGTTACGTTAGTAGAGCGAGTTTAAGATGCGCCAAATCTGAGACACGGATGCGACTAAAAATGGGAGACTAGACAGTCGCTAATAATGAGAGACTAGTTTTACTTTGTCTTTCTCGTGTCTCACAGTCTCTATCTTTGTTTACCAACAATAATCCATAGTTTTACCCATGAAGTGAAATTGTGATAAAAGCGGCAGTTTTTCGTCACGTCCGCGTCGTAGATTTGGTAGTAGACAAATTTAGAAAAGACGACGCGACCTCAAAGACGACGTGAAAATGGCGTGGCACATCCATATATGAACAGAACACGCAATTTTCACGTCGTCTTTGAGGTCGCGTCGTCTTTTCTAAATCTGTCTAGTATTAATGATAATGCTAGGAACCTGACGAGATGCTACAGATCAGCATCTTCCAACACAACACAACACAACATATTAACCAGGGGCCGGTTGTTCAAAGGTGGATTAGCGCTAACCATGGGTGAAAATTTAACCTGCTGTTTTAGTTTGTGTATTTCTGCATGTCTTTTTATTTCAAAACTTCAGAGAAGTAAACTCCTATTGATCCTGACAAGATCTCTGAAGAAATATTTCTAAATTTATAGACAAGCTGTCAGAAAGTTTGCTTTGAATTTTAGGTTAATCTAGGGTTAAGCTAACCCAGCTTTGAACAACCGGCCCCTGGTATAAAATTCACACCGGAATCATTGGACTGATAGCTACTGCTGTCAGATTCTGTTAACAGACCATCAAGATTCTCTGGGTACAAGATTAATCAAGATTCGACTCACTTGCGTGACGTCACAATAAATGCTAGTGCCAGACTCCTGTCGCCGACGGCCATTAGCCAAAAATATTTGGATTCAAAGCATAGATCTATGTTCAAAGTTTCAAACCACAGAATAAGGTTTGATGAAATCGAAAATTTTTGTCACTAGAACACTGCACTAAATGAGTACTTTCAACAGACTGAAAATCATTTTTTGTGTCAGGGGCACTTTAATGGGTTAACCCATTGAGTTGCTTAATTAATATAAATTGAATTAATACTGTGTCTAACAACAGATGATTTTACTTGTAGAGGGGAGAGCGCTGGCTCTGACTGGGTTAAGCAAGAACAGTAACGACAGTGATATCATCTCCAACATGAATCGTCCCAGGTATACCAGCAACAAAATGATTTTCAAACAAAGGCCTCTGTCCATGACCATGTCTTGCATCATCACCTATTCACCTTTAGATACACATATTCTGAATAAAAGAAAAGAGCCGTCCTAAATGGTTGGCTGAATGATTAGACAGATTTAGAAAAGACGACGCGACCTCAAAGACGACGTGAAAATGGCGTCAAAATGGCGTGGCACATCCATATATGGACAGAACACGCCATTTTCACGTCGTCTTTGAGGTCGCGTCGTCTTTTCTAAATCTGTCTATTGACTGAAGCGTGTTGTTGATGGAAATTATCAAGTGGAAATTTATAAACATTTTATTAGATCTAACCCGGAACAGCTGTGAAAAATGTAACTTTAGGTCCTTGGCAGGAATTGAACCTGTTGCCTTGCAATTCCGGTGCAGTGCTCCAACCAACTGAGGTACACAGGCCAGCCGCAAAACTCTAAAATCACAAGCTCCTCTATATATAATTATAGGGTTAGGTTAACTGCCATGTTTTAGGTTATGGGCAGTGGCGCCGTGTCCGGGGGGGCAGGGCAGGGGGCATGGTCACCCCATTTTTTGAGACCCGTCGGAAATTGTTGGAAAATTGCCAATGTTGTCGCCGGGGGGGAGGGGGGGTGGTGGTGGTGAAGATTTAAAATGTTGTCGTCCGGAAAAATTTTTGGTTTGTCGGAAAAAAATTTCGGTTTGTCGGAAAAGCACTGCCCTTGCCCCCCCAAAAAAAAACATGGGTCCCACGGCGCCACTGGTTATGGGTAAATATTAAGAATTTGTTGGCATACTGGTTAGGTCTAATAAAATGTATATAAATTTCTACTCGATAATTTCCATCAACAACACACTTCAATTATTGAATCGAGCGAGATGCTAACAAAATCTCAATGATTGATAATAGACAGCAGTGGACAGATTGACTGATAGGCTAACTTAGGGAACATTAACTAGTAAATTCAAAGTCACAATGCTACATCACCTTTTTAGAATCTCCAGCGCTGTTCTCCATCATTTCGTTTCACACCAGCATGCATATGTCTAATCTTGTTAATTAATACACATCTGAAAGAACGATTAATATTCCATAGTGTCAATAGAATATTTAGTGCATACATGTATATACCTTCCACCTGTGGTTTGATTTCCTGGTTTAATTCCTGTAATATTGTTATTCGAGTGAAATGTTGCACATGATACAGCTAGAGTGCTTCCAGTCTGACTAATTTATATCAATTGCAAACATCAGCAGTGGTGGAAATCTTGGTGGGGAGGGGGGTGGGGCCACCTTCGTGGAAAATGACGAATTTTCGGAAACTTTGACCTTTAAAAGGCCTAAAAACAGCCTTTTCGAGTGCAAATGGGGGGGGGGGATTGTCGGAAATTTAGAAGGCTTCGTCCCCCCCCGGAAAAAGTGAATTTCCGCCACTGAACGTCAGGGTTACATGGTTGTAATGAAATGATCAATATACAAACATACAGTGTATAACCAATACATTACAATATTGTAATCTAATTATTGTCACTTGTCTGAGCTATTGGAATCACTGTCGCTGTACTAATTAAACAACAGGCTTTAAGACATGGAGGGGCTTATATTTGGAATCATGGCCTGTGTGTTAGTGAATATAGTGGGCTTATACACAGAGGGCCTATACCGGGGGGAGGAGAGTTATATTCTAAGGTATATTACTATCCAACGTTTCATATATCCTAGCTGAATCATACAATATAAACACGGTTGAACACAGTTCCGGAAAGTACGGACAGCACCTTGGCCATCCTTTTTGTGATTGACGTCTGGCTTTACAGTCAAAGTGAGATACTTTCCAGGAGGGTGGACTCTGTATGCAAGAATATACAACACTATGTGCATGATTTCAGAAACTATTAATATATCCAGGTTTATAAGGAAGTTTATAATAATTATTAAATATAGGATTCCTCTTTTGACGATTGAAGCAAGCTTTAGACAAGAATATTTCGCATCAACTATCGTCAGAAAAGGAAACAAAACAGTACAAAATATATTGAAAGCTTCAATGTACCTTTCGGTAGAAATCAACGGCGGCGCGACCTCTTGGTTAAATTAATTGACGGTGTAGATTTCACTTCCCCTTCATCTATTCCAGTCGATTCATCGTCTTAGATAGATATAATCTTTAAATTTTAACCTTCTACAAGCATATATTTTCATCGGAATTTGTTTTGAAAACAAATACGGTAATTTTTTGAAATTTTTGAGCCGTCTCGCACGTGTCTCGAACTCGCGGGACCAGTGCGAATTTTCCTGCGTCCTGATTGGATGATGCCCACGCATGCGCTACGTTTACCCGAGTGTCAAGTTATCGCGCATGCGTTTGTTTCAATGATTTGGTAAACACCGACCTAAAGCGTCCCACATGCACCACACCAGGCAACTGTAACGTACTTATATACCGAAATGTTACTATTACTTGTGTGTGGTAGTTACCGATCATAGGATCTTGCGAAAAGGGTGCCAGGCATAATGGTCTGGGGGCCGCCGGCACTCTCCCCCGTCGTTCGTTCGATACCGGTTGGTAAGCCACCTATTCACCGCCTCTGACGATAGCGTTGAGTTTAGCCGAAATCTAGCTTAAACGTTAACATACGGCGTTCTAGCGGCTAGCACGAGACGGACTTGACCGATACGGGCTAGCAGAGTCGGGAAGTATGGACTGACGAGGCACTTTTCTTTTTAAAAATTTTATTTCTAATTTACCATTCGATATAAAAACAGATCTTCTAATTTACCGATCAATTGAATTGTGACTAAACAAAGTTTAATAGCAGTGTGTTTTGTGCTTTTTATTCTAATTTATAGAAATCTAAAAATGTATCTTTACTACTTTTTTGTGTCATATCAAATTTAGAAACAAGATTAAAAACCTAAATTAAACTATTTTAAGTTCTAAAGTTTCACGCCAGAATACCAACTATTTCGCTATTTTGTAGGTACCCGTCTACTTTCTGGTCCGCCTTCATTTTAACCAATCAGATCACGATCCAAAAAATCTCTTAATCTGATTGGCTAATTGAAGTGATCCGTTAATCCCACCAAGTTTGAACACAGTTGTGGTTTGAAAGAGTTTTGGGTAACCTTCAAGGACTTCAAGTGTTACAGCGAAAGTATTAACTGAGCCACAGCAATAAAATTAACTGCAACGGCAAAACAAAATTGAAACTCGCGGTAAAATAAAGTTAACTCACGGCAAAACAAAATTAACTAATGACAAAATAAAAAGTCACGGGTGAAATAAAGTTAATTTTTTAAAGTCGTGGAGATCCCCCGCGCATTCCCGCCATTCTTGTAACGCTGTGAAGTTGTGAACCTAGTGTTTGTTGAGAGCGGTTGACAAAATCTTTTGCTCAGTGTGTGACTGTTCTGGTGCCAAAAGGCTACAAATTTTGCTCAAAATGTGGAATATAAATGCACTGTATATTTTTAAAAAAAAATGTCTCAAAAACTGTCTGACAAAGCTGTTTGAAACTCATTAAATAAAGTTTGTATTTTGAGTGATTCAACGTCAGATTTTACTGATTTCTGACCCCTTTTCTTCAGTATTTTAATACTTTAATAGTCCTTGAATTTGCTGATACATGGCCTTGAATTTGACTCTTCTTCACATGTACGAACCCAGCTGTATAAATCTAACCTCGATGGCTCGATCATTTACTGTAACTAGTACTAACTACTATATAAAACTAGTCAACTGTGTATATAAATTTCAGAGGATACATATTTAATATTGAATGGGCCAATTGCGGAATTGCTAAGCATCATGGTAGTTTAGTTACACAGCAGAATTTTTCAACATGGCGCTTATACTTTTCGAACGAGGGAAGGTGCTAAACACATGAGAATTGCAAGAAAACGTTTATCATTTTCGCTTTGATTAAAGTTTTCACTAAATCTGTACGACTTGTTTCATATTTCTACTTCGTCTTGGACTTCTACGAGTGAGTGCGGTTGAAATATTTAACATGGCGTACAAAGTCACTGAAGCGGGGAAGGAGTTCGATTCGTAGTAGTCAGGAACAAATTTTTGAATATTTCACAACATGAAGGTGAGTACTGCATTAAATTATTTTCGAAAGAAGGAACACGTTGTAAACTATTATTTGCCTAAAAATTTTAATGATCGGTTTAATTCTAGCGAACTCGAGAGACAAAAATGTTTGCACACTTGACCGTCCCAAAACAACAGATGTTTGATCAAACGTTCGTTTCACAACCACAAAACATTGAGGTTGTTTGGCGCGAAAAATCAAAACAGTTACTGTTTGAAATACCGAGCTTTCACATTTCAAAGGTTTTCAAAGATTTATAAAGTACTTTTAAGTACTATTCACTGCTGTTCAAGTGTCTTATTGGAGTTTTTAACTACAACATATTTACGCGAGTCAAATTTAAAGCAACCTCGCTTGTTTCGAGTATATTTTGGAAAGTTTCGAGCCGTTTGGTTTGCTGTTTGTTTGGATAAATATGGCAAGTGACACGGAAAAAGTGCTAAAGGTAAAATGTACAGGGGAACGACCTGTTGTGTGCCACTTTGTCGAAGCGACAGTGTTCAAAATTCGGAATTATCCTTCCATAAATTTCCTGTGAGAAATATGGCTGAATTTTATATTGAGAATACAAAGTGAACCTTTTATAAAAAAGCCACAAAGTGTGTTTCTTACACTGAGAAATCTTTTAGTGCATTGCCAACTCTCGTAAAATATCATGTAGCCAAACCGTTAACAGTAGCCAAGGCAGGGAACATATATAATTATAGACAGCTAGTGAGACTGAACAACCCAGTTTGAACAACAAACGACTGGCATTGATACACAAGAGTCAACCAATGAAAGATTAAAAACTGAACATGCAGCTTTACAGTTATCATCTAAATACGAACAGTGTGTATTGCGAATAGAACATGTACTTGCCAGTGACACAAATTTTAAATTCTATACAGGTTTTCAAAATTATGCAACATTTAAAGTTTTCTTTGACTTTCTGCAAGCACCATGTAATTTCTTAACTTATGCTGGTTCGAGTAACAATGTAGAATACTCGGCAGAATAAAAAAGCTGCGGCGAAAAAGATCAATGTCGCCTACTGTACGTTGTGGTCTTATATGGGTTGACATATTGCTCTCTGAATTGGCATTTCACAGCACATGTTTCTCGTACATATATGGGCTACTTGGTTAGAGTTTCTCTATCACAAGTTAGGATCATTACCCATCTGGGCATCACAAGATTATACAACAAACTATGCCACAGCCTTTCAAAAAAACCTACCCAAATACCCGTGTAATTATTGATTGTACAGATTGAACAACAAATTGAAATGCCAACATCATTTAGAAGTCAGTCTGCATTATTGAAAATGGGCACTTCACCTCACCTATCCCAAATGTTGTTGGCTCTGCATAATTATATAACAAGCAGTCTGGTTTCACCAAGCCATGGAGCTTCTGTGTTAACAAATAACCCACACTGAACACATGCAGTCATTACACATGCAGTCATTATCAGTTCATCCTGAATTATTTTGCTCTAAATGTTTTTCAATGGCAATCTGCTCATTACGGTTGCCCCACTTGACATTCTTTACATTGCTTGCTGGCAAAAGGATTTTGCTAAGAAGTGATGTGAGGAAAACATTTTCTCTTCATTTCATTGCCGTACTGAAATGTGAGGTAGTTACAGTAGACGGCCTCGTTGTCCATGAAACCAAAGTTTGCTCTGTGACTGACCTCTTGTATTGCATTCAATGTCAACCATTTGTTCTTTGGGTGTAAAAAGAGTGTTTCGAGTATCTGGTCTATATACTCCGGAGAAGGCAAATGTTTGCACACTGCTGCAAAGGCAAATGTTTGCACACTGCTGCTAGGAACAGTAAGTTGTTCCAGTATAGATGTTCAAATTTTGTATTGTACATTTGATTTGCAAATAGGTTTGCATTATTGAATGCCTTTTTTGAAGGCAATTCCTCAACAAATTCTTGATATTGGAAAGGTTCACAATTGTTGGATACTAAAGGCCCTGCAAATAATCACAAGTGCCAACAGTTTTCAAACCGGTCTTCACGTTTTCTTAAGTCTTCAACATTTACATGTTTAGCAAAAGCAGATGCTGGGTTGTTGTAGTTTGCTGTGCAATGTTTTTTCTGTCTTGAAAGTTGCCTTGCTTATTTTTACTTTGTTGAAAAGCACTGCAGTATCAAGTTTCTCATTAGTAAGTTCAGTGACTGTCAGACTGTGTACATGTTAAATCATGTGGGACTTCAGTTTAATAATTGACGTTGGATATTGAGTCCAAAATTTGAAATAGCAGGGCAGCTACATGTTTACAGCAACGGAACCACCTGTACAAGTGCAACTTGCACAAGATATTTAACCAGTGTCTTAGACCTACAGTAGGTGAACATATATTCCATAGTGTGCCTTTTTCATGGAGGCATGCACAACACTTTTAATTAACAGGAAATATTTTTCTGTGCCTTTCAAAACATTAGCCTTAACTACAACCTGGGTAACCATTTTATCTTTGAACAGTTGATAGCCATATTTTTATGCTTGTGAGCATTTGCATGGTCCAAGTTTACTGAGTAGTCAGTTATCAAATGTTCCTTCAGTAATGCATGCATGGGTATTAAAATACCACTGAGGTTTCTTGTCCACTGTATTCCTTACTCCATATTTACAAACAGCAAACCAAACGGCTCGAACCTTTCCAAAATATACTCGAAACAAGCGAGGTTGCTTTAAATTTGACTCGCGTAAATATGTTGTAGTTAAAACTCCAATAAGACACTTGAACAGCAGTGAATAGTACTTAAAAGTACTTTATGAATCTTTGAAAACCTTTGAAATGTGAAAGCTTGGTATTTCAAACAGTAACTGTTTTGATTTTTCGCGCCAAACAACCTCAATGTTTTGTGGTTGTGAAACGAACGTTTGATCAAACATCTGTTGTTTTGGGACGGTCAAGTGTGCAAACATTTTTGTCTCTCGAGTCGCTAGAATTAAACCGATCATTAAAATTTTTAGGCAAATAATTGTTTACAACGTGTTTCTTCTTTCGAAAATAATTTAATGCAGTACTCACCTTCATGTTGTGAAATATTCAAAAATTTGTTCCTGACTACTACGAATCGAACTCCTTCCCCGCTTCAGTGACTTTGTACGCCATGTTAAATATTTCAACCACACTCGCTCGTAGAAGTCCAAGACGAAGTAGAAATATGAAACAAGTCGTACAGATTTCGTCAAAACTTTAATCAAAGCGAAAATGATAAAAGTTTTCTTGCAATTCTCATGTGTTTAGCACCTTTCCTCGTTCGAAAAGTATAAGCGCCATGTTGAAAAATTCTGCTGTGTAACTAAACTACCATGATGCTTAGCAATTCCGCAATTGGCCCATTTCAGGAGGATTTCAAATTCAGGTCATAATCCATGCAACTAAGTTGAAGTTTTATATTGTTTTAGAACTCCAATCCTGTGGTTGAAATATATGATAGAACATTTGATAGGCTTGTCAGTCAAGAACCTGTTTTTATCAATTTTTATGTCCCATGGTAAGTTGCCATTATTGATTCTTATTTCATTTTATATCAAACTTCATAATTGTAAACGTTTTTAGGTCAAAGGAGTCAAAAGCAATTCATGAAACATGGAAAAATTTGGGAAAACTTTGTCAAAAAGAAGGTTTAACTACAATAGCACAGGTAATGTTTTGTAGATTCCTTCCTCTGTAAACATACGTCGGAGTAATTTATCGTTCTTTGGGTGTGGTTTAGGCAGTGAGCTTCATTGATAGATACTGTACCATATCAAACTTGCTTGGCTACCTATTGCAGCCTGGAAAGAACATGCTTACATCATGCAACCTGCCTTTAAACTACTCAGTCATTCTATCTGTAGATAAATAAAGCTTCCTTAATTCTTACCATATTCTATCCTTTCTTCTGTCTATACCTCATCAACATTTAATCTAATCTCTTCTTTCTTCTGTCACTATACAGATCGACTGCTCACGATTCTCTGAAGTCTGTAAAAAGTACGAGGTATGATTAAAATTTCATGTCTGGACTCCTCTACCATTAATCTTTTTCAGGTAGTTCAGATACAAACCATGGCAGCTTATTGTAGAATACTACCTACACTGGACCACCACGTTTGAGATATCTTTTTCAGGTAGTTCAGATACAAACCACGACAGCTTATTGTAGAATACTACCTACACTGGACCACCACGTTTGAGATCTTTTTCAGGTAGTTCAGACAAAAACCACGACAGTTTATTGTAGAATACTACCTACACTGGACCACCACGTTTGAGATATCTTTTTCAGGTAGTTCAGACACAAACCACGACAGCTTATTGTAGAATACTACCTACACTGGACCACCACGTTTGAGATATCTTTTTCAGATAGTTCAGACATAAACCATGGCAGCTTATTGTAGAATACTACCTACACTGGACCACCACGTTTGAGATATCTTTTTCAGGTAGTTCAGACATAAACCATGGCAGCTTATTGTAGAATACTACCTACACTGGACCACCACGTTTGAGATATATTTTTCAGGTAGTTCAGACATAAACCATGGCAGCTTATTGTAGAATACTACCTACACTGGACCACCACGTTTGAGATATCTTTTTCAGGTAGTTCAGACATAAACCATGGCAGCTTATTGTAGAATACTACCTACACTGGACCACCACGTTTGAGATATCTTTTTCAGGTAGTTCAGACACAAACCACGACAGCTTATTGTAGAATACTACCTACACTGGACCACCACGTTTGAAATATCTTTTTCAGGTAGTTCAGACACAAACCACGACAGCTTATTGTAGAATACTACCTACAATGGACCACCACGTTTGAGATATCTTTTTCAGGTAATAAACTATTGCAGTAGTATTCTACAATAAGCTGTCGTGGTTTGTGTCTGAACTACCTGAAAAAGATATCTTAAACGTGGTGGTCCAGTGTAGGTAGTATTCTACAATAAGCTGCCTGCTTTGTGTCTGAAATACTTGAAAAAATATCTCAAACGTAGTTCAGACACAAACCACGGCAGTTCATTGTAGAATACTATCTACACTGGACCACCACTTACAATATTGTTGTTTATAACATATTAACTTTATTAACCACTTCTATCATAAAGTAAACAACACAAGATTGAGCCTGATATATGTGAACATATTTCAGTCAAAAAACACATTTCAAAACCTAAAAAACTTTACAAAAAGATACAATCTTGTTTCTGGCCAAAGCTAACACGTTGTGGTCCATCAGAATGCCGTCGCGTATGTTTAAATATCCTACTCACTGGCGGAGCAGACTTCACAGGAGGCTTAGGTGGCTCATGAAATTCATCCAGACGACTACGAATTTTCGCACTTTTGTGACTAAAAACTCCTTCATTCACGAATACCGGCGTAGGAATTGGACTCTTTAGACTTCCACTCATCTTTTTGTTCGTTTCCAGCTTTCAATAGACGCTACTTTTTGTCTTATTTGCAAAAGAAACACAAACTTACGATGTTTATATTTGTGAAAATATTCGTCTCGTCATCGTCTGAATTTGGCGCCAAACCTCGTTTCCATATCACCTTCACTTCCGGTGATTACCCGCGAAAAACAACCCCACCGGGTAACGACCCCTGCGAGTTTTCGCCCCCGCTTTTATTCCGGCATGAAATGCAAATTAATGCATGAATGCAAATTCGATGCATGAAATGCAAATTAGATGCATAAAATACAAATTAGATGGAAAACTGCAAGTTTTATGAGACGTTTCTTCTACAGAAAATGAGAAAAAATGTGTGCATAAAAATCAGATATAACTCGTTTCGTCTGGATAGTTCAGTTTAAATATATTTTTAAATTTATTATTGCTATGTTAGTATATTCCCCATTAATTTAAAACCGAAAAACTGCGATTGAAAGGGATATTCAACCACTTGAAAAATACAAGGAGAAGTCTTGACGAAGAGCCTTCGCTAGAAACGTCTAAGTTCTCCTTGTATTTTCCAGGTAATTGTATCCAGGGGCATCAGAAGTGGGGGGGGGGGGCAGGGACCCCCAATTTTTACTTGGGGGGCCTGAATGTCTTTGCCCCCTCCCACTTTTTAACAATGGTTATGCATGTAAACAAAGCAATTTGAGATTTTTACGACATTTTGTTGTCTTTACAGTCTCTAGTTTTAAAATTTGTCCCTCTAGTGTGCCCCCCCCCCACTTTTAGAGCCGCTCCGACGCCCCTGGTTGTATCCTTATTAATCCGAAGCTTTCTGGTGTTATTTTCGCTGTCTACGCTGAAATGGACCGTTCGAATTCATTTAAAAACCATTTCCCCAAGAATGTGGACACTGTATCCTCGCGTAAAATGTCATAAGCCAAGCTCTCATGTACTGAAGAACAAAAACAGCCATATTTCACCTTGTAATATAAGATAGATTTTTTGATATGTTCTTTTACGGTGTATTTACATTATACTACTCAATTCATTTACATTACGCCACTCAATATATTTTTAAAAACCCTTGCCTAATTGCAACGCTGACTATTTTCTATATTAAATATTACCCCTAAAGCTTCCTGAACTAACTATATTTTTATCACTACCTCTATATTGGATTTATTTAGAGATTTTGAACTCGTCCGAACGGCTTAGAGGTCCAGCTATGTCCATGATGCTGAAGCAGTGTCATCGATGAGGTAAAGTTTACCTCACTCCAGCAGTGATCGCGTTCTTTGTGCGTCAAACTCTCGACTTTCCTTTGAACGTCATGTTGTGTTAGCGCGAGACAAACCATGCACAGAAATACACAATGAAGGCATTATGATCAGTCAGTATCGAGGTTTATTGCGGCAATGCCATTGATGGAAAACCTAGAAGAAATATATTTCTTAAATCTTCATAAGTCATGAGCCAAAAACGAAGGAAACCAACAGTGAAGCCTGGTGTTTACACTATCAAAGTTTCTGCGATCACAGTAGGAATTTTGCATATAGATAAATTCTTAGTTTGAAGGATTTGTAAAAAATGTTTGAAGGAATTGACTTAACGTTAAACACTAAGTCAATTTCCTCAAACATTTCTTACAAATCCTTCAAAACTTAGAATTTACCCATGCAAAATTCCTACTGTGATCACAGAAACTTTTGATAGTGTAAAATCAGCCATAAATCAATCATAACCCGTCACTACGTCATCAATAATTAATTTGGTAATTACAATCAATGAATGCAATCAATGAATGAATCAATCATTTCTAAACTTGGGCAAACACGTACGCTTACTTGAATTGAGACTCCTAGCCACTCTATGATGGGGCCTCCCTGCTTCTCTGGGCAATACATTTTCACCGATAATAACTTGTGTTGTATATTTATGTCCAATTATAAGTTGTTCTTGTTCAAAGATCAAAGCTAAGAAGCCAAACAAAGATCCTCGTTACATCAGTCATGCAAATCCACAGTGATTAGTTTTTGAACGAGAGACAGGTATAGTTACATACGTAAAAATCTCACAACTTGTCAACAAGATGTGTCAGCAACAGGCTTGTGGCAAGCTTGTCAACAAGTTGTAACAATGCTGTTATTTTATCAAGTTGCTACAAGGTTGTCACTCGCAACTTGTTGACAAATTGGTGAATTGCAGGACGATAACATGTTGTTGGAACAACTTGTAACAAGTCTGTTAAGCTCAATAACCTTGTAGCAAGTTGCCAACAAGCCGTTGACAACTTGTCAACAAGCTGGGAACAAGCAGTGCGAACACATCCTGTTGACAAGTTGTTGGAACAATACAGTCGTGATATAGCAGTATTGTTACAACCTTGTGTCGTCAACCTTGTCGCGTTCTTGTTTATCATGACTGTATCAGACTTGTCAGAACAACCTTGTAACAAGTCTGATAATGCCATCAAGCTTGTTACAAGTTGTTGGGAGATTCTTATGCGTGTACACATGTAAAAACGCACAAGTTGTTACAGGTCTGCGAACAAGTTGTTACAAATCTGTTCACAAGCTGTCGACAAGTTGTGTTCGCACTGCTTGTTCCCAGTTGTTGCAACAAGTTTGGAACAAGCTGTTAACAACTTGTAACAAACTTGATGGCATTATCAGACTTGTTACAAGGTTGTTCTGACAAGCCTGATACAGTCATGATATAACAAGAATGTTACAAGGTTGACGACACAAGGTTGTAACAATATTGTTAATCATGACTGTATCGGACTTGCTGGAACAACCTTGCAACAAGTCTGATAATATCACCAAGGTTGTTACAAGTTGTTAACAGTTTGTTCCAAACTTGTTGACAACTTGGGACAAGCAGTGCGAACACAACTTGTTGACGATATTTGCGCTTGTACTTTAATTTCATTTTCTTGCTCCAAAAGTTTCTACATCTTTAAAAGTTGACCATCATCACTGGGCCGTGAGGCTGAATGAAGCAATACAAAACATAGTTTTACCTGTGTCGACTTGATGAAAAGCAAAATGAAGATATAATAAGAACAACATGTGAACCGTAGCGACAATACCACCAGCTATCAGACCTTGTTTCTTTTGCCACGTTCTGCTCACAAACACGCTCACCTGTAGAAAAGAAAAATTTTATTTTGTCAACTACACACGTAAAAATATCGCATCTTGTAGCAAGTCTGCCAACAAGTCGTCAACAAGTTGTGTTCGCACTGCTTGTCCTAAGTTTGTTGTAACAAGTTTGGAACAAGCTGTTAACAACTTGTAACAAGCTTGATGGCATTATCAGCCTTGTTACAAGACTGTGCCAACAAGTTTGTT